TTAAGAATTTGGATGTTTGTGTTTTAATTTTTATTATTATTTATTTATATGTATAATAATTAAATACTTAAACATAAGATTTTAAAAATAAAAACAAATTATTTGTTTTATTATGATTTAAATTTTAATACATTAATTTTAATTAATTACTTAATATTTTGTTTTCTTTTACTTTTTTGCTAGCTGGCTTATAATAATAGTTAAACGACAAAGTTTATTTTTTTGTTTTTTGTACATTTCGATTTTTTTTTTTAATTTATTACTTTTAAAAATATAAATTGTATATTAAATATACTAGGCTTGGCTTATATAGAATTAAAAAAAATAATAATAATAAATGATAATGATGTTTAATAAAATAAAAAATTTGCTAAAAATTAGTTTAAATAAAAATAAAATTATTTTTGTTAAAAAAAAAAGAAAATAAAACTATTGTTAGATATTTATAATTAAAATAATTTAGTTAAAAAAAAATAATAAATGAGAAGAGTAGTTTTAGTGTTAATAGTTTAAAATGAATGTTTTTTGTTTTTAGTTTATAAAATTAAAAATTTGTTTTGTTGGTTTTTTAAGTATTTTCTTTTAAATATGTATATAAAAAACTTATAGCTAAATTTATTTTTTTTTATTTATTTTTTAATAATATATGTATATTTATATATTATATATATAAAAAACAAGAATGGTAGAATAGTGTTTTTAATTTAATTTTAGGCTGTTGTTTGTTGTATTTTTTAATTGTTGTTTTTAGTTTATGTTGTTTCTTTATAGCGAACTTGTTTTTTTTTGAAATTTTCTGTTTTAAATAAGTTTTTACTTCTTCTGCTGTTTAAACTTAAAATTATTTATTTATAATAATTTGTTTATTAGTTAAAAATGTTAACAATTTATTGTTAGCATTTTATAATATAAATTTATTTATAATTAATGTTTGTTTATTATTTATATATTTATAATTGTTTTTTTTTTTTTTTGTTTGTTTTAGTAACAATTTGCTTAATTTTTTCCATCGTTTTTATTTATAGTTTACAAATTGTTGTTTTTAACATTTTTTAAACTTATATAAAATTGTATTTCTTTTACTTAATTGTACTAAATTTAAGTTTATTTAATTTTTAATTTTTAATTTCTTTTTTTATGTTTTTTTTGTAGATAATTGCATTTTTTATTCAAAAAATTCTTCTTTTTACATATATGTATTTTCTGTTTACTTAATTTCCATTTTGAAACTTTAGTTTTTCATATCAAATATATTAAATTTTAATTTTTTGTTTTTATTACTTAATTTGTTTTATATTATAGTGGACATAAGTTATATAATTTTGTTGCCTTTTTATTTAAGTTTAAATTAGGGATTCTTTTTTTTGTTTTGTTCTTGTTTTCTGTTCAATTTTTTTAAGGTTTTTTTTATTAAATTAGTATATTTACAAATTTTCTATTAAATACAAAGATTTAAAACTAATATAACAAAAAAAGGAAGTGTTTACTTAATAAGCAAAAGTTTATGTTTAATCCTCTTATTAAAGCTAAAAATTTGAATTTGAAGATGTTATTTTATTGATTAAGGCTTTATTTAGTTTACTAGAGGCTTTCATGTGTGTCTTAATAATATGCTGCTTTTCGTTTTGTTTTCGATTCAACATTACGTCACTGAAATGAAAACTTCCAAAAACGTTGCTGAATGCACACAAACGTCTTGTTCTTTTCCTTACGTTTTAGGTTTTTGTTCGAATATCTTTCTTCAATTGTTGCGTTACTTAATGCGATCGTAGGCTTCTTACAATTCCGTTGTTTTTTTTCTTGAAATACTTTTTTCGACTGACGGATAATGATAAGTGTTTATGTGTTTCGAGTGCAAATGAATCGAATGATCATAAGAACAAATTTTACGTTCGAAATTGTTAAATAAAGGAAAAATCCAACAACACCCTTAAAATGTTTTCAAATGTGTGTACTGAAGACTGCCAAATTTTAACCAGTTAACAGATTTTTTTTTTTTTTTCGAACATTACGAATTTTCTACATATTTTAACGAATTTGAAACAAACTCGAGTCAAACGATTCAAATAATACATTTTGTATTCTCTTAGCACATAAACAAATTGTTTACGAGCTCGATTTGAATATAGTCGCTTGCACATTCTCATAATTATATTCAAAAACCAAAAACGAGTTGAGTGAAATGCAGGTGGATCACTCATTGTGGGTGATTAGCAAACAGTTTCATCTCATACAGGACAGTCTTCTAATATGTAACAGTTTGCTATTTATTTCAAGGCAAGTCGTTCATTTCCCAGAAAATAATCAAAATACAGTTTTATAGCCTTTATCATCGTGTGAAGGGACCCTCTATTCTGCATTTCGATTACATTCCGCATTCAGTTACGCTACGTTCGTAAATAGGTATTCCAACAAAAAACGGAATCGTAAGAAAAGAGGAAACAATTCCATTTTATTTTAATACTTTACGATTGCATGTATTCTGCATTAAGATCGTATCTACGTTTTAGTAAGTTGTTATTTCAGTGACGGATCTTCGAATCGAAATGCCGAATACCAAAGTTGCGAAACGGAGAAAATTTCAATTCGAATTGAAATACAGAATAGTGGTGAATATATATATGTTTTCATTCCGTTTGTAATGTCTACAATTTAATTTTGGGACCCTATAAATCGCTTATTTACTACAAAACTGACAAAATTCCCAAAAATATATTGCTTCGTAAAAAACCGACTTTGAATGTTTTATGATATTTTTGTGAAAGCTGGAAAGAATTATCGTGATCGAATTGAATCTGTTCAAAAAAATCCCGAATGTTTTAATTAATGTCAATCTTGCAGTAAAGTGAACGATAAATAATCTGAATCCTAATAGCTAACGATAACGTTATAAAAAACCTAGGTACGATCGTAACGCAGAATACACACATTCATAAAGCATTGAAACGAAATGGAATTGCTTCTTCTTTTTTCTTACGATTCAGTTTTTTGCTGGAATACCCTTTTTCGATCTTTGCGTAACTGAATGCGTAAACGTAATCGAAATGCTGAATAGGGGTGAATAGAATAGAAAGGAATCGAATTATGAAATTGATTGAAACTTTCTTGTTTGAGATTCACCCCTATTCAGTATTTCGATTACGTTTCCGCATTCAGTTACGCTACGATCGAAAATTTGCTATTCAAACAAAAAACGGAATCGTAAGAAAAAGATGAAGCCATTTTATTTCAATCGTAACTACGTTTTTGTAATTTGTTATTTTAGTTACAGAGCCTCGAATCGAAATGTAAAATATCAAAGAAAATTTCGATTCGAATTGAAATGCCGAATAGGGGTGATTATGCTCGAAATAGGGGCGAAATTTGTTTTGTCACGAAAGCTCATTCGATCACAAATATCATAATTTGTTCCAAAATATCGATCGCCATTAAATGACGTAACTTATACCCTGGTATTTCCAAGTACAGAGCATTAACGCGTTTGTTTTGAGGGAAATTTTTTGTTTAGAACAAACTTTTCGGTTTATAATAAACTTTCTATAGAATTTTTTTGGGACAGACTTTTCTATATAAAATTTTCATTCATTCATTTTCCAAAAGTTTGGGACAAATTTTTCTATAGGAAATTTAGTCTAAAAAAATTTGTTTGAGACAAACTTTTCTCAAAAAAATGTTCTTTGGAACAAACTTTTCTATGGACAATTTGCTATGAGACAAACTTTTCCATAGAAAATATTGTTTAGGACAAACTTCTCTATAGTAAAATTTAGTTTGGAACAAATTTTTCTAGAGAAAATTCTCCTTGGGAAAACTTTAGTATTGAAAATTTTGTTTTTTTTTAATTCATTAGCAAATGTGTGAAATTTAAAACTTTGTTAAAAAAATATTCTTAAACTCACCTAAAATAACGCCAAATTTCAAGACCATCATATAATCATCATCATAATATTAGTAAAATAACGAATTTGTATGTTGTTTAAGATTGACATCTTCTTAGAGGATTCTTTTTTATATAAATTAACATAAACACTTAATTTTGTTATATAAAAATTAATTCTAATTTTAAATCTTGGTATTTTATATAGAAAAATACTTAAACCCTCTTTTAAAATATCTTATTGTGTTAAATTTGCTTATTATTTTAATCCTTTGTGTGTGTGTGTATGGTTTATCATTAAATATATTTTCATTTACATTATTTTTTTAAGTTTTAGAATTTCTATACAAAATATATATAATTTACAAATTTTTAACAAACAACATAAATATTTTAAATAAATATAAAAAGAAAAGATAAATTATTTAGAAAAATTAAGAAAACATCAATAAAAAAAATTATAAAAATTAGCAAATGTTTAAAAGATTTGTTTAAAATATGTCACGTCATCAACTCATGCATCTACAACTTGGGCAAATGTTCAAAAATGTTTTAAGAGGAACAGAAAGAGTGGGAGGAGGAGGATTAGTTGTACAATGTAATTTGTCTGACTGAAAAAGCCCTCGCTTGGAAGTCCGAAAAAATAACGGAAGCATAGAATTTAGTTTCTTTAAATGTATTTGTTTTGGGTGTCTTTGTGTGTTGTGTGTGTTTATAATATTTTTTTTTAATTAATATAAAATTTTCATACAAACAAATAAAAAATTTAATTATTATGTAGGGGAGTAGGAAGAGAGGAGCAAGCAGTATAGAATGAAATTTAGCACTTTTTTTAAAATGAAACAATTATTACAGTTTTCTGAATATCACAGAAATGAAAATTTAAAAAAAAAATGTGTAAAAATATTAGAAAATATAATATAATTTAAGAAAAATAAATCTTGAAAAACAAGAACATGCTCTTAATATAATACACATGATGTGTGTGTGTGTGTTTTTGTTGTTGTGTAAAACAATAATAAACCGTAGAAAATTTAATAAATTAAATCATAATAATAGAACGAATAAAAACAAATATTTAAATACAAATCGTAATATTTTTATATAGATTTTCTTTTCACTATTTCTTTCTTCTTTCCGTTACTTTGTGTTTTTGTTTTTCTTTCTATTTTTAAGTAATTGCAGCTGTCAAGTAATAGAGATCCATTAGGGTCTGTACATTAATGGGTAGACATGATAAACGATCATGGGTATTCGAGTCTAATGCCAACCACGATAGTGCGTTATAACCCTCAAGTACATAACGTAAAACATCGGCAGTCAGCGTAGAGTCTAAAGGATGATCAGTTGCCGACGAATGGGCATTTGTTGAGTTGAGTATGTCATCGGGCGTTTGTATATTCGGTACATGTATGTGCAGTGCCGTTTTCAAGAATACCGGACACACATCTTCCAAATGTGGACAGGCTGACCAAAACATGCAGGCATACGGCCGGTGGGTGCAGTTGAGACCATATAGCCAACTGCTAAAGGTTGTTGATTTATTTGACCGACCTGTGTTGATAAAAAAAACAAAAATTTGAAAAAAAAAGATTATTTAACTCAAGCTTTAAAATGATATTCAGATCTCAGATTTTCTGGTTATATTTAAATCATGTATATTCTATAGTCCATACTATAGACAAGATTATGTACATATAGTTTGGACTATAATCCAGCTTATAGTCTAATCTTGAGTCTACTTGAGTCCAGGCCTATCGTCTGGATTATAGTGTAATCTAAAGGCTATTCTATAGTCTAATCTATAGTATAGTCAATAGTCCAGTCTATATTTTACACTATAGTCTAGCCCGGATTATAATCTAGCCTATAGACTTATCCATAGTCTTATCTATGGTCTAAACTGAACTTTATTATATCCTATAATCTGGACTATAGTCTAGTCTATAGTCTGGACTATAGTCTAGTCTATAGTCTGGACTATAGTCTAGTCTATAGTCTGGACTATAGTCTGGAATATAGTCTAGTCTATAGTCCGGAATATAGTCTAGTCTATAGTCTGGACTATGGTCTAGTCTATAGTCTGGACTATAGTCTAGTCTATAGTCTGGACTATAGTCTAGTCTATAGTCAGGACTATAGTCTAGTCTATAGTCTGGACTAAAGTTTAGTCTATAGTCTGGACTATAGTCTAGTCTATAGCCTGGACTATAGTCTAGTCTATAGTCTGGACTATAGTCTAGTCTATAGTCTGGACTATAGTCTAGTCTATAGTCTGGACTATAGTCTAGTCTATAGTCTGGACTATAGTCTAGTCTATAGTCTGGACTATAGTCTAGTCTATAGTCTGGACTATGGTCTAGTCTATAGTCTGAACTATAGACTAGTCTATAGTCTGGACTATAGACTAGTCTATAGTCTGGACTATAGACTAGACTATAGTCCAGACTATAGACTAGTATATAGTCTGGACTAGACTTGTTTATAGTCTGGACTATAGTCTAGTTTATAGTCTGACTTATAGTCTAGTCTGTTGTAGATTTTAAAACCAACTTACCTCTTCAATATCCTGATGTTGTGCAGAATTGAAATTATTGCCACCAACACTTTGCCAACTTCGATTGTCCTCTATGCGATCGGGACTATTGTGATTAGACATGCCACGACCTAAAAACGAAATCAAAATACAAAAAACAATATAAAATGTTTCTAGAATTCCACAAAACAAGAAACAAAACAAAATTCAAAACAACACACTCACCTGTACCACCACCATTATCCCATTGACCTAATAAATCATCCATTAGATCGGCATCTTTGAAAACATCATTTTCATCTTCATCGTTACCGAAATTAATAAAATCTTCATCAAGATCAACTTGAGTTCATTTTGGAATTGACGTGTAAATGACTAAAAGATGAAAACAAACAAAAAGAAATAAATATTTTGAAAATTTAAAGCCATTACCCGCAACACCTACCAAACATACAGCACTTGTGGGAAATACTAAGATATGAGTACAAGTAACATCCTGCGGAGTTGATAATGGATTCTGTATGGATATCTGTGAGAAACGTTCATCAGGTGTAAATTGATCGGGCATAACACGCAATTTTGCATCTGGTTCTAAGGTGACCAAACAAGCGCTCAGTATAGTGGGAGGATACATCAGTTGACATTGTTTACACATATCCTTAAGTTGTTTGGTGGCCTTTTGCAAGTTTGATTTTCCCAACAAATATGACCAGGACTTGAGTTCATTGTGACCAATGCGGGCCGATACGACCAACTACCAGACGCCATGTTTGTGTCGTCTGTGAAATTAGACCTAATATATAGTCCATGAGTTTCTTGAGACCAATACGTCTGGCAGGGGCACGACGACGTCTTGTACGATTCGGTACATCAATGTTGATGCATCTTTTCTCCAACATTTCACCGCGATCATCTGTGACGGTGGCCAGTAGCCAAGATTGATCTTCACTCAGGCAGTAGTTGCAATACATGACAGAGTATTTTTGATCGTTGGGATTCCGCGCATACCTCCTAAAGCAGCTCGTGAAAAATCTGTTTTATCGTTTTTCTCATGCATGGGGGGCGAGTATATAGGGTGGTGTGTACATTTTATATGGTCTCCTATTCTTTTCGTCTTTGGTCTTTAGGAAGGCTTCTACATTGGCAGCGGTACCAAAGCCGGTAAGACTTTTAACCGCCTGCGCATGTACCATGTGTCGTTTACACTGTGAGAATATGTTCAAAGCCAAACATTTGATTTCATCGGAAAATCGTTTGCGATTACGTGAACGTCCTAACTCCAGTAATTGACTCTAACGAAATTATCTGTATATTATATGAGATCTTACCGATTCTGGTATGGATTTCAAAAGTTCCGAATACATTCGTAGCAGGGCAATGCATGCCATTCTTCCAATTCGGGCGAATCAGAACCATAAGTAAAGGGTTCAACTACATAAAGTACTATAGCCGTGGGATTGACTTCTTCTAAACATTCCGCCACACCCAGAGGATCTCCCAGTATGAGAGGAGGCTTAACGTCTGGTTTTTCTGTTGAGGGTTTGTTTCATTTAGATTTCCTTGAGCGTCGGTGCCCGAATGGCTAGAGTGTTGGGAATGGTCTCCGCCACTATGATCCATACTGGTGGAATGATCTGAAGCTGCCATGTTACCACGTTGCTCGCTATTGTCCTGGCCGGGGTTAGAGCCACCACCACCGCCATTGCCGGATAATGATGATGTTGAAGATGCTGCAGCATTACTTCCTGCTGACGAGTTGCGCGTATTATTATCTAGAGGATTGAGAAGAGTCTTATCATTTGGTACCCGATTAAGGTAAGGAGCCAGCTGATGTTGGAAGGCATATGCATAAAGTCGTAATTGTTCTGCCAGTGCGGTGTCGTCTATGGATCGCAACCAGTTGTCGATGGTCGTTGTGAATGGCTTTTCCGTCGGCGGTCTTTGTTGCACAGTTAACAAGCCATTCCAGCCACAAATGGGCGTGTGTTTACCCAGTTTGCACATCTCATATGTGCTACTTAATTCCTTGAAATAGGTTTTGGTTTTACTCAAGACATAATCGCTGTCTGGCGCCATTACCAAATAGACCACATCTCTGGCATATGAGTAGGGTTCGAGCAGAAATTTATCCCAATAGTGAATCGCTAATGGAGCTACCGAAATCCAGTCTTTGTCGTGACCCACTATAACCGAAGGTATAGGCTGAGGTTCACATTGTCCGGAAGCTCGTCCAGCGAGTCGATGAAATTGCCGCCATGTCAAGGGCCCACTGACAATGTATGTGGCATCTTTGGCGCCGGCAGCATTGCGAGATTTTGAATGGAATGCATTTTGTAGCATGGGTTGCACGGACTTCATGGTCGAGACTATATCTTTGTTGCTGCGCGAAAAACCCACCGATATATAAGGCCATTTGTGAACATTTATGCGCCCCGTTAAAGCCAAAGCCAACTGGGTGTTTCCTGTTTGCTTGCGGTGAGTGGAGAAGGGCACGATTTGTTGTTCCATAATATCCATGCGTGAGCTATCGAATGCCAAACGGGCTTGTTCCAAAGCCAAGGCAATAATATCATTGGCATCGATGTACTCCAGCACATTGGCAATGGCTGCTACCGATTGGGGTTTCTGTGACTTTTTCGCCAACCTTCGCCGGTGACGTTGTAATGAACGATGTATAGCACTGCTAGACGTTTGTATAATTGAACACTGTTCGAGCAGTAAATCAAATATGGAATACGCCACCTGTTCCACTGACTTGTCTATAACTCCATTGTTATTGTTGTTATTATTAATGGCCTTCGATGTGAGCGTAGTTATTAAGGTCAACAAGGAATGTTTTTTGTGGCGACCGGGATCTTCGGCAATGCCAGTTATTTCCATCTCATCTTCGTAGAATAGACCCGCTTTACAGGCCAAACGTCGATTGATGACAGCACTGAAACCACAGGTGCACTCCACAGCATCATCGTCCACATAACCGGTGATATATTGTTGTGCATTATTGGCTGGCGTTGTGGTAGAGGGTGTCGTGGAAGAACTGGAGCCTGCTCCAGCCAACGAGGCGGGGGAGTCGAGGGAATTCGCAATGCCGCCTCCACCTAAACCTCCTCCCAATCCCACCGAACCAAAGGCACTTAGGGCACGTAATGCATTCGACGACGTTGCCAAAGATGATGATGATGTGGGATTGAAGGTAGTTCCCGGCAGCGGTACGTATACCCCCGAATCAGAGCCACGTATATTACCGAAATGTTGATTATCTGCATTGCAAACACACACTGTACTGCTGTCAAAGTTGTGGTCACGGAAAACATTCAATGCCGTATCGTACAGTAAAATATTAACAATTACCGAACTCACTTCGGGCAGTTCGTGCGTTATGGAGTTACTATTGCTGTTACTGTTACTGCTGCCAGCTCCGGCATAATAGCCCAGGCTGGAGGATTCGCGATTGCCACCCGGCACACTGTGTGGCCCCCCAATGGTCTGCATTTGATTGTTAACACTTTGCGGTGTTTGTGGTGGTTCTTGTGAATGATACGGTCTATTGAGATATGCTGGAGTCGAAGAAGCAGTGGATAAGGCAGGACTGGAGACGGCAACTTCGTATGGCGGTGGCGGATGTATTGGTGTTTGTCTTTGTTGTTGCTGCTGATGCAACATGGGGCTCGTGTGGGGAAACGGCACATGTGTAGCTGGCGATATAGGTGACATGCCAGGACGCTGCATCAGTTGTTGCATAGTTGGTGGGGTATTGGTGAGAGCAGCCTGCGGACAATTGAGTTGATTCAACAATAAGCTACCACCACCTCCTCCTCCACTATTAAGGGGAGTAGGTACCGTATTGTGCATAGGTGACGAAGACATAGGACCCAATGGTGTACGTGGCTGCTGTTGTTGTAAGGGTGTTCGAGGAGCCGCTGACAACAGTTCATGCAATTGCTGATGTTGTTGCTGCTGCTGTTGTTGCTGATGATGCTGTAACTGTTGCTGCTGCAATTGATGTTGCTGTTGTTGTTGTTGCTGCTGCTGCTGCTGTTGGTGGGTATTTCTGGGCTGTTGCCACGAAGGTTTATATAGACAATTGGGCGGTATAACCAAAGGTGGCATGGTTAGACTGGGCAAATTTGTTAGTGGCGCATATTTCGAAGAACCCACAAATTTCGCCTGTTGCGGTGGTCGAAAAACATATGACCAATCTTCTATAGGCTCCTCAACCGGACTGCCCAGTTCAATGGAATACTCCTGCTTAATCTTTAACATACCACTTATACCCAAACAGGTATCTAGTGTCTGGCCCATTATAGTCGACGAAGTAATGACACTTAGATCCGTCATTTGTATGTCCATTTGACAAGGGCTGGAATTCGGATGATGCTGTTCGTGAGATGGAGGTGTAGGAAACATTTTCGTCAAATCCTCAGCCTGTATGGTATTTGCACCACCAACAATACCTCCACCACCTAAGCCCGATGACAGACTACCGCCACTATTGTTCAAAGACGATACAACCGCTGCGGAAGTATTGGTGTTATTACAATTTTGTAGAGCCGCCATAACGGCGGCATTGGTTGCTGCACTACTATTTCCCTGAACACCAGCGGTGCTCACTAATGCGGTATTTGTTGTTCGTTTCAATTCATCAATGGTGTTGGTGGTAATGGCACAACCATTTGATGGATTGTTTGAATCTGGCGGCGTGTGTATTTGTACACTGCCGCATTCATCGTTGGAGGATGTCTCGAACAATTGTTCTAAATCATTGGGGGAAGGATTTAAGCCCTCTACGGTAAAGAGATTGCCACCTATGCCACTCTTCGAGTCTTTACACGGCGACGTAGATGAAGTACCCATGCCAGACATCATTTCGGTTTTTATATCAAGTTCTTCAAAGAAATTTCCCGATGCAGAGGCACTAACACCTCCTCCCATCATACCACTGCCACCAATACCAGCACTCATCGAACTGTCATTATTTTTGCAATCAATTTGATTGTTTCCCAATGACGACGAATTGCCACCAGCTGCTATTCCCACCAAACCTGTACCCATATTGACGTTTGGATCAAGATTTCCCGAATTACAGGCCATTGCTGCCGTAGGATCTATAGATAGCAGTTGCGGTCCGTAAACTGAACGAGGCGAAGGCATTCGAGGTTTTGTGTGCGTATGACCTTCATAGAGCTTTTTTGTGCACATTACTCGGCATTGTTTTGAGATTTCGTTGGGTTTAAAACGTTTAACAGGATGATTGGCCCTAAAAGAAGTTAAATTTTCAATTAATTAAAAAAAAAAACAAGTGCCCATGTGTTCTTAAGAAACGAATTCGGATTATTTTTCGGATAATAGATATTTCCTGTATATGGAATCTTTTTGAATTATGCACCCATCGTGTTAAAATTTGGATAATAGATCAGTTCTAGTTCAATTCTAGTTTAGTTTTAGTTCAGTTCTAGTATCTAGTTCTAGTTCAGTTCTATTCAGTTCTAGTTCAGTTCTAGTTCAGTTCTAGTTCAGTTCTAGTTCAGTTCTAGTTCAGTTCTAGTTCAGTTCTAGTTCAGTTCTAGTTCAGTTCTAGTTCAGTTCTAGTTCAGTTCTAGTTCAGTTCTAGTTCAGTTCTAGTTCAGTTCTAGTTCAGTTCTAGTTCAGTTCTAGTTCAGTTCTAGTTCAGTTCTAGTTCAGTTCTAGTTCAGTTCTAGTTCAGTTCTAGTTCAGTTCTAGTTCAGTTCTAGTTCAGTTCTAGTTCAGTTCTAGTTCAGTTCTAGTTCAGTTCTAGTTCAGTTCTAGTTCAGTTCTAGTTCAGTTCTAGTTCAGTTCTAGTTCAGTTCTAGTTCAGTTCTAGTTCAGTTCTAGTTCATTTCTAGTTCAGTTCTAGTTCAGTTCTAGTTCAGTTCTAGTTCAGTTCTAGTTCAGTTCTAGTTCAGTTCTAGTTCAGTTCTAGTTCAGTTCTAGTTCAGTTCTAGTTCAGTTCTAGTTCAGTTCTAGTTCAGTTCTAGTTCAGTTCTAGTTCAGTTCTAGTTCAGTTCTAGTTCAGTTCTAGTTCAGTTCTAGTTCAGTTCTAGTTCAGTTCTAGTTCAGTTCTAGTTCAGTTCTAGTTCAGTTCTAGTTCAGTTCTAGTTCAGTTCTAGTTCAGTTCTAGTTCAGTTCTAGTTCAGTTCTAGTTCAGTTCTAGTTCAGTTCTAGTTCTAGTTCAGTTCTAGTTCAGTTCTAGTTCAGTTCTAGTTCAGTTCTAGTTCAGTTCTAGTTCAGTTCTAGTTCAGTTCTAGTTCAGTTCTAGTTCAGTTCTAGTTCAGTTCTAGTTCAGTTCTAGTTCAGTTCTAGTTCAGTTCTAGTTCAGTTCTAGTTCAGTTCTAGTTCAGTTCTAGTTCAGTTCTAGTTCAGTTCTAGTTCATTCTAGTTCGTCTAGTTCAGTTCTAGTTCAGTTCTAGTTCAGTTCTAGTTCAGATTTCTAGTCAGTTCTAGTTCAGTTCTAGTTCACAGTTCTAGTTCAGTTCTAGTTCAGTTCTAGTTCAGTTCTAGTCGTCTAGTTCATTCTAGTTCAGTTCTAGTTCAGTTCTAGTTCAGTCTAGTTCAGTTCTAGTTCAGTTCTAGTCAGTTCTAGTTCAGTTCTAGTTCTTCTAGTTCAGTTCTAGTTCAGTTCTAGTTCAGTTCTAGTTCAGTTCTAGTTCAGTTCTAGTTCAGTTCTAGTTCAGTTCTAGTTCAGTTCTAGTTCAGTTCTAGTTCAAGTTCTAGTTCAGTTCTAGTTCAGTTCTAGTTCAGTTCTAGTTCAGTTCTAGTTCAGTTCTAGTTCAGTTCTAGTTCAGTTCTAGTTCAGTTCTAGTTCAGTTCTAGTTCAGTTCTAGTTCAGTTCTCAGTTCAGTTCTAGTTCAGTTCTAGTTCTAGTTCAGTCTAGTTCAGTTCTAGTTCAGTTCAGTTCAGTTCAGTTCAGTTCTAGTTCAGTTCTAGTTCAGTTCTAGTTCAGTTCTAGTTCAGTTCTAGTTCAGTCTAGTCAGTTCTAGTTCAGTTCTAGTTCAGTTCTAGTTCAGTTCTAGTTCAGTTCTAGTTCAGTTCTAGTTCAGTTCTAGTTCAGTTCTAGTTCAGTTCGTTAGTTCTAGTTCAGTTCTAGTTCAGTTCTAGTTCAGTTCTAGTTCAGTTCTAGTTCAGTTCTAGTTCAGTTCTAGTTCAGTTCTAGTTCAGTTCTAGTTCAGTTCTAGTTCAGTTCTAGTTCAGTTCTAGTTCAGTTCTAGTTCAGTTCTAGTTCAGTTCTAGTTCAGTTCTAGTCAGTTCTAGTTCAGTTCTAGTTCAGTTCTAGTTAGTTCTAGTTAAGTTCTAGTTTTAGTTAAGTTCCAGTTCTATCACAATTCAAGTTAATCATAATTTCAATTAAACTGTTGATTTAATTTAAATACAAACTTATTTCTCTTCAATTGTATGTAAGCTGTTTAATTTAAATCAATAACATTAATCTAAGAACCCAAGATGATATTAACTAAATGCTCCATAGAAAATATCCCTTTAAAAGTTCTATATACTTTATTTTACGTTCGAAAAAAAAAAAAAATTAAAAACTTACCAAGCATCTTGTACACTAAAATCATAGAGTACATCTAACTTGAGGCAATCTTCATTAGCAACCGTATCAATATCTTTAACATTGATTTTTGGCGGTTTATATAAATTCAAAAAATTTTGCATTGCATTTGTGGCTGAAGATAGTGGGGATTCATTTCTATTCACGTTATTATTGGGTAAAACCGAACTGTTCATGATGCAGTTGGGATTACTGATATTGTTGTTGTTGGCTGTAGACTCTAGTTTAATATCAATTGAATTGTTAATTGGGCAATTGCTGCTAGTGGTATTTCCTGACATATGCATATTAGGCATTGTTAAGGGTTGTAGTTAAAGATGCAGGTTGTAAATCAAATTTCTTAACAGATATGGAACCACACTGCTGCTGTTGTTGTTGTTGCTTGCTGCTGTTGTTGTTGAGGAGTAGGTGTACAACGACCAACACTTGAGGGAGGAGGCACACTGCCGGGACCAATATTACCGCCAACACCACCGCCAATAGTATTATGCATTCCTTCCACTGATGGAGGAGGCTCTACACTTGGCGTAGGATGAACGTAAGGTGACGCTGTTATACTTTTATTATCATGTTGATCTGTGGGAGTAGGAGCTGGAGTATTTTTATCCAATAAATGATCTATTGGTGTGGGAGGTTGTTGCAAATTCGATACTGATGTGGGAGCACGTGGACTCATTGATAAAAGCTGTAAAGAGAAATAAATAATAAACATTTTTTTTATTATGAAATTATCTATTTCGTAGAAAATGAAAAAAAAATAATATCTACACTTACTTGATCGGCTGGTGGTACTGATGTTGGCTGAGATAATGCTGAATTTGGATGGGGTGATGCAGCGGGTGTACCTGGTGAACCCACTGATGGTATTGGCATACAATCAATTAATGAATTGCGGGAATAACTTGAGATACCACCTTGTAATGGTGTACCATGACCAGGTGTTTGCCCAGAAGACGGTGTTTGTGATGAAGTCAATGACCTGTAAATTATATTAATTATTTGTATTTTTTAATATTTAGTTTTCAATATTTGGAAAATATTTTTATTTATTTTACATTTATAAATTTTTCATAAATTTAGTTAAACATTTTTAATTTTCTTACTAAATAATAATAATTAAAATGCTCTAACTACCAAAATGAACAATACTTTTTTTTACAATTTACCGCATCCATTATAAAAATTAAAAAAAAAGCATACAAAAAGAAAATTACATAGATATCTATATAAAATAGATATAAATCATGCATTAGTGCCATAACCGTTTTAGTAAATTCTAAAAACAATGAACATTTTTAGCTTGTTTTAAGACCTTTACTTTTTTACAGTTTTCAATTAGGATAATGTTTTAATTTGATTTCTTTAAGCTGTTTATTAATTTTAATAAATAGATAATTTAATAATGTTCAATTTAAGAAATTTGTTGATTAAACCATGGCATCCATCAAGTCCAAGTTAGAAGGAAATTTTTTGTGTTTAAGAAAAAAATTATAACCTATTTTATACAGTATTGTTCGAAACCAAACAAACTAGTTCTAGTAGTTATTATTTCCTTTCAATTGATAAGTTATAATGTTTACATTATCTTTTTTCATTTGTTAGTTAAGATCTAGTTCAGTTCTAGTTCAAGTTCAGTTTCTAGTTCAGTTCTGTTCATTTCTAGTTCATTCTTAAGTTCAGTTCTAGTTCAGTTCTAGTTCAGTTCTAGTTCAGTTCTAGTTCAGTTCTAGTTCAGGTCTAATTCGTTCTAGGTCAGTTCTAGTTCAGTTTCTAGTTCAGTTCTAGTTCAGTTCTAGTTCAGTTCTAGTTTCAGTTCGAGTTCAGTTCTAGTTCAGTTCTAGTTCAGTTCTAGTTCAGTCGTTCAGTTCTAGTCAGTTCTAGTCTTCTAGTTCAGTTCTAGTCAGTTCTAGTTCAGTTTCTACGTTCAGTTCTAGTTCAGTTCTAGTTCAGTTCTAGTTCAGTTTCTAGTTCAGTTCTAGTTCAGTTCTAGTTCAGATTCCGTTAAGTTCTAGTTCAGTTCTAGTCAGTTCTAGTTCAGTTCTAGTTCAGTTCTAGTTCAGTTCTAGTTCAGTTTCTAGTTCAGTTCTAGTTCAGTTCTAGTTCAGTTCTAGTTCAGTTCTAGTTCAGTTCTAGTTCAGTTCTAGTTCAGTTCTAGTTCAGTTCTAGTTCAGTTCTAGTTCAGTTCTAGTTCAGTTCTAGTTCAGTTCTAGTTCAGTTCTAGTTCAGTTCTAGTTCAGTTCTAGTTCATTCTTAGTTCAGTTCTAGTTCAGTTCTAGTTCAGTTATATAGGTTTCACAATGGACTTTCATACTGTTAAAGAATATGTAATTTGGTAAATTATGAACAGGATAGAAATTCGTCTCTCCAATTCATATTCACATTAGTTTCAATAATCTATGAATTCTGTAGTTTCCTATTTTATTTAATTCTTCAAAATTACCAAATTTTTAAAAATTGTTTATAATATTGCTAAAAAGTATTTAAACTTAACTGAGCCAAAAAAGCATGCAAACAATACTATGTTCCTTTAATGCAATTTGTTAACCATATACCGTTAAATATTTAAAATAAATATAAATGTACAATATAGGAAAGCCTTAAAAGCTTAAAATCAAAGTTAAAATTTAACAAATGTTTATAAAACATTTAATAAATTTAAAATTTGATTCTTATAAAGCTATTTAATATTAAATATAAATATTTTTGCTTAACAGTCCAAAGAATTTATGATTATTTGTCATTCTAGTACTTTTTTACATTTATAAACTATACACTAAGAAACTTCCAATCCCATACCAATGATAATAAAACTAAGAGCAAATACCAATATTCCATCTAATATTGAGAGAAAGATGTTTATACAATAGAAAAAGTAAAGAAGAATCTGAATAATCTACAATTTTTTTTTATATGTAAACGATTCAACGATCAATAATGTTTAGCTTTTTTGGTGTAGTGGTGGTGAGATTATTATAATGTTTTATACTAGTTTTTATTTGCTGTTTGGCGATAACTGGCGATATATTGTTGTGAATATAATTTGTTGTAATGACTTTTTTGTGGTGGAATTATACACATGTTGTTGATGTTTTCAAGACCCATTAACTCAGTTTAGTAAATAAATTTAAATTTACATGATTGCAGCAACCATTTTACATTTTATAAATTATACAATCAAAGGTGAAATTAGTTGAACTGAAAAAATGTATTTAAGGAGAGCGGGGGTTTGTTTTAATATACAATATGGTGAAAAAAGTACACAGCGAATTGATTGATTGAATGATATTTCAATTGACTGACTGATGCGACTGATTTGATTTGATCAGAACACATGTCGAGAAATATCTATATAGTAGAGAAGTTTAAATAAGACAACACAAACCTTTGTTTTGGTATAGTGTCTGAAGAGCAAGAAGAACTTTGATAAAATGATGCTGTATAACAAGCGGCAGGATTATTGGATTTATTTGAAGAAATGGTCGTGCTGTTGGTGGTTGCAGTAGTATTATTACTGGTAGTGAATTGAGAGGAGAAAGAATTCTTAGAATTTGTACTACTATTATTATTATTTTGGCTGGTGCTTGTTGTTATTATAGATGTATTTGAAAAGCGAATAGAAGTGCTGCATTGTTGCTGTTGTGACCCGTCAATATTGTCTACAACATCGCAGCTATCATGAACAGTAATATCCAAATGTCGTTTATGAAATGGTATTCTTTGTATACGTAATGAGTTGGTTTTCATGTTATCGCCCTGCTGTTGTTGGCTTAAGGGTGTAGAAGGTCTTGTATGATGACTAACGGCTCCTGCAGAATTACTACCACTGAATTGGTGTTGTTGTTGTGTATGATTGAGATGCAGAGTAGACGAACCAAATGTATGAGTTTTATTTAAAGCCATTGCCATGGAACTACTGCCTAAACGCATAGCTACCGCCGCTGCCATAGAAGACGTTGAAGAAGGACTCAAACACGACAAGCCAACGCTAGTTGTTGGTGTGACACCCATATTACCACTTGCGGCAATGTTTACCGATGTTGAGGAGGACGCAGTAACTGCTGTTGTTAATGTTGATTTTGAGCTAAATTGAAAACTAAAAATTGTTTTGTATTTGTTTTCATTGTTTTGTTGTTGATTTTTTTTTTTTAACACCAAAGAATTTAATATACATTTTATTTCTTGTTTCTATTACATAATTTTATAAAAATTATTTTTTGGTTTAAGTATTTTAACACAACTTAAAAAAAAAAAAACATATGGTGAGTTAAATAATTTAGCATCTAAAGCATTTAGAGCATTTTAATTTATATGACAACTGTTCGGTTTTTAAGTATTTAAACTACTGAATAAAATTTTAACAAAAAGACAACTGTGACATGCATTTAGAATTTTAACTAAAAACAAACATAGAATCAGCTTTATTTGAACTTGTTTGTATGTTTTTGCATGCCTTAAACAAAAATGTGAATAAGTGTATTCATATTATCAATTAAATTAACACTGAAGGAAAGCTACAGATTTGCAAAAAAAAAATAGACGAAAAAATAGATATTGAGACTTAAATATTTGGGTGAAAATAAACTTAACCACATATGGTTATTACAATACTTTTTTTCATTTACACCTCCCAGCATACTTCATTGCTTTAGGAAAACTATGAACGGAATTTTAAAAATAGGAACATACTGGTTTCTATTATCTACTTCAAAACTTTTAATATTGTACTTAAGTTCTAGTTCAATTCTAGTTCAGTTCTAGTTCAGTTCTAGTTCAGTTCTAGTTCAGTTCTAGTTCAGTTCTAGTTCTAGTTCTAGTTCAGTTCTAGTTCAGTTCTAGTTCAGTTCTAGTTCAGTTCTAGTTCAGTTCTAGTTCAGTTCTAGTTCAGTTCTAGTTCAGTTCTAGTTCAGTTCTAGTTCAGTTCTAGTTCAGTTCTAGTTCAGTTCTAGTTCAGTTCTAGTTCAGTTCTAGTTCAGTTCTAGTTCAGTTCTAGTTCAGTTCTAGTTCAGTTCTAGTTCAGTTCTAGTTCAGTTCTAGTTCAGTTCTAGTTCAGTTCTAGTTCAGTTCTAGTTCAGTTCTAGTTCAGTTCTAGTTCAGTTCTAGTTCAGTTCTAGTTCAGTTCTAGTTCAGTTCTAGTTCAGTTCTAGTTCAGTTCTAGTTCAGTTCTAGTTCAGTTCTAGTTCAGTTCTAGTTCAGTTCTAGTTCAGTTCTAGTTCAGTTCTAGTTCAGTTCTAGTTCAGTTCTAGTTCAGTTCTAGTTCAGTTCTAGTTCAGTTCTAGTTCAGTTCTAGTTCAGTTCTAGTTCAGTTCTAGTTCAGTTCTAGTTCAGTTCTAGTTCAGTTCTAGTTCAGTTCTAGTTCAGTTCAGTTCTAGTTCAGTTCTAGTTCAGTTCTAGTTCAGTTCTAGTTCAGTTCAGTTCTAGTTCAGTTCTAGTTCAGTTCAGTTCAGTTCTTTGTTCAGTTCTAGTTCAGTTCTAGTTCAGTTCAGTTTCAGTTCTAATTCAGTTCGAATTCAGTTCTAATTCAGTTCTATTTCATTTCTAATTCAGTTCTAATTCAGTTCTAGTTCAGTTCTAGTTCAGTTCTAGTTCAGTTCTAGTTCAGTTCTAGTTCAGTTCTAGTTCAGTTCTAGTTCAGTTCTAGTTCAGTTCTAGTTCAGTTCTAGTTCAGTTCTAGTTCAGTTCTAGTTCAGTTCTAGTTCAGTTCTAGTTCAGTTCTAGTTCAGTTCTAGTTCAGTTCTAGTTCAGTTCTAGTTCAGTTCTAGTTCAGTTCTAGTTCAGTTCTAGTTCAGTTCTAGTTCAGTTCTAGTTCAGTTCTAGTTCAGTTCTAGTTCAGTTCTAGTTCAGTTCTAGTTCAGTTCTAGTTCAGTTCTAGTTCAGTTCTAGTTCAGTTCTAGTTCAGTTCTAGTTCAGTTCTAGTTCAGTTCTAGTTCATTCAGTTCAGTTTCTAGTTCAGTTCTAGTCAGTCTAGTTCAGTTTCTAGTTCCGTTCAGTCAGTTCTAATCAGGTTCTAATTCAGTTCTAATTAGTTCTATCAGTTCTATTCAGTTCTAATTCAGTCGTTGAAGTTCCGTCTACTAGTTCCAGTTCAGTTAAGAGTTAATTAAGTTTTAGTTATTGTAGACTGTAGACTAGACTACTGCCTACTTTTCAATTGAAGTTCAGTTCTACTTCAGTTCCTGTTCAGTTAGAATTCATTTATAGTTCAGTATTGTAGGCTAAAATCTAATTATTAGAAAACATTCAAATTTGAACAAAAAAGTGTCTCAAGTATTAATGTTTCGACTAAACACAACTTCTATTGCAGAAATCTTTAAACAAAACGTCTTTACAGATATTTTTTTTTTAATTAAAAAGGAAATAAAAAGTAAATTATTAAAAACAATGAAATTTTACTTACTTTGTGCATATACATGGAGCTTTTTGTGTAGGATCCACAAAACCCCATATCTGTTGATGTTGTTGCTTTTGAGATAAAGTTGTAGTATTTGGTTTAATGTCAACACTATTTGAAACATTATCCGTTTGATCCATTCCTTCGCTTGACGTAGCATTATCATTATTATTACTATTAATGCCCGAAGATGACATTGACGTCGTAGTTGTTGCGGCTGATGTTGTTGACGTATTGGAGGAAGTTGTGTTAGAGGTGGATGAGTTGTTGGTGTTAGCGGATAATGAAGTTGAAGAGGAGGAGGTGGACAGAATTGTGCCATTTAAACTATGTTGGACATGCAAAACATTTGTGACGCAATCTTGCCAAGCTCTTTCAGGCATTTCACATGCTGCCTGTGGCGGGGCATGAATATTTGTCGTATTGCAGGTGAAATTACGTGTTTGTGTATCATAATACGGTTGAACTTTACTGCGATCTATTTTTAAACGTTCAACCATATGAGCTAAAGATGACTTTGTTCCATTTATGGTTGGTAGTTTATTATTGGAAAAATTTTCCATTAGAGGTTTTCTAGAGTCATTGTAATTGTGGTTATTGTGGGTGCTAACACCACCACCAGACGTTGTTTGATTAGCTGATGAAAGTGCTGCCAAAGCAGCAGCTTCCGCTGATGAAGACGTTCCGAGAGGACACTTCTGAGAGGCAGCTGCTTCCATTTCTTCCATATCATCCAAATCAGTGACTAGTACATAAATTGACGGATGATACATTTTATGACCGCCTAAATTGAAAACAAAATTATATTTTATTAAATTGATTTTAAGAAAAAAAGATTAAAAATTAAAAGAACATACCAGCTATAACTTCTACAACTGGTGGCACATCACTGTTCTCTTTATTGCACAATGGGAAAAATGAAGCCCAGTCATCAAGTATTTTCTCAGCCATTGGATCATTTGTTTTATAACTGTTGCCCGTTAGAGTGGCTGCCATACCAAATGGTGCCAATATTACTTTACGAGGTTTTGGATTAACGCTATTGCTGTTGTTGTTATTGTTGCTGCTGCTATTGTTGTTACTATTATTGTTGCTGGTATTATTATTATTATTGTTATTATTAGATGATGCATTTTCATTTTTAATACCCTCGGCTGCATGAGCAGCTGCAGCATTGGGTGAATTTGGTGATGTTTGTTGTTCAGGTGAATTTGCATTTGAGGCCGCGGCTGCAAATGCAGCGGCAGCTTCAGTTAAATGTTCTTTGGTTAATGGACGCACTGCTGGATGTTCTCTCAAATCAATAGATGCACATACAGTATCTCCATGTACAAAGAATGTAAATGAGAATGATAAATGTTGAGAGCTGCAAAAAGTAATAAAACAAATAGAAAATAAATTTAAAATTGTTATTTTTTAATTTTTTATACATAAATTAATAAATTTACATACAAATAAGTATTGTTTCAAGCAAACGATGAATAAATTTAAAACTTCATAATTTACTCACAGAGACCTTGTTGTTTAATCTAGGATTTATTATTTAAACTCAGTTTATTTATATTTTAATAATTGAGTTGATTTTCAAATAAAAATCCATTTATTTCAATTATAAAACTAATGAATTCTTTCTTTTCTTTTTAGTTGAACAGAATTTGTTACAAGTTGAACGATGAATAAATTTATAACTTCACAATATATTCACAGAGAACCTGTTGTTTAATCTAGGATTTATTATTTAAACTCAGATTATTTATATTTTAATAATTGAGTTGATTCACACACATAAAATCCACTTTTGGAAATTATAAAACTAACTGATTGAAACTGTTACAAGTTGAACGATGAATAAATTTATAACTTCACAATTTATTCACAGAGAACTTGTAGTTTAATCTAGGATTAATTATTTATACTCAGTTAATTTAATAAACTTTTATAACTGAATTGATTTGAATTGATGAAGATCATAATCCTATAATTTGTAGATTAGGCTCTCAACTTAAGTCAAGGCTGGACTATAGACTGGACAATAGACTAAATTACAATAAAGTCATGGTAAAATTTATGTCATTTTTTAATCCTTTCACAAACTTAGATAGACATTCTATTCAAATTCTCTTATTTTCTATTAAATAACTACTAACCTTCTTCCAAATATTCGTTCATTTGAAGTACAGGGTTGAACAAACCATTTGCCAAAACGTACAATATCTTTTGTAAGCACAAATCTGTAAGAATATTGAAATCATATTTTTGAAATAGATATTTTCAATTATAGGTATTTTGTTTTTTTGCATATTGTACCTTTCGATAAGATTATGAAGTGCCTTAAAAAGTAATGAACGACATTCATAAGTTAGACCACGTTCCCATGTGCCATTCCACATCATTTGATTGCCTGAAAAAATAGAAAATAATGGTTTGTTAAAGAAACTGTAATGATGTTTATATATAATTACATAGGTATGTTATTTATAAATTTATTGCCCAGATGTATGTGCATTGTACATACAAACTTCAAAATTCAGATGGCCAGTTGTACATACTTTTACATTTAGGGCCAATCTTTAGGTGAAAGATTAGCGATTAAATGTTTTTGAGTACTCAATTAGTTAATTTTGTTTGCAAGTTTAAGCGCCCAATGGAGGTGCACGAAATGCAAAAGTGTAAACAGCTGATGCAAAAAAATTAATAAAATTTTTATAAATATAAACATTAAAATCTTCTATTTATTGATTAGTATAAATTATGGACACTTCAAAATACATTTTTTTGTTTTTAATTTAAGTTTTCATTAATTTTCATATTAAATTTACAATTGTATTCTTCTTTTTTATAAAATATGCATTGTTTTGATAACAAACAGTGAAGTTTTCTGTTGTTTTGTATGGCAACACTGCGAAGTTTAATCTTGTACTCAAAAACATCACAGGGGATTAACATAAGATTAAATTTATTTTTAGATTAACTAATCTGATTATTAATTGGCATTTGATTACCATCTCAAAAACCCGCTCTTAAAGTTGAACTCAAAATTTCATTAAAGTATACCTATTCATAAAGTGACTATTAATACCTACACTTTGTAAGTAATAAACATCTTTTTCTTCTTTGGAATTTCTGTGCTATGACGTGGTGTATTTTCCAAATTAAAAAAAAAAAATATTTTACAAAAATTCCTTAAATCATCTGAGTTATAAACAATCACAAAATACGAATCATGAAATGAAGATAACTATAAAAAGACACTATTTTTTCTCTCACACTCTCTTAAAAACAAATTAATAAATAAATTAATGACGTTAATTGTTAATGTGGGATAAAATTGTGTACTGTTTACACTTAAAAACAACAACAATGAAAAACAAGCGTAAAAATAATGACGTTATAATAAATCAGCAAACATAAAAATAAACTCAAAATTATAATAATAACATTTATTTGCATGTACATACGTATTTTATTTATTCTTTTTAATTTGTTACTGTATTTGAATTCTACCGATTAAATATAAGAGAAAGAGCGACAGAGGGAGAAGTGAAACGTTGTTATTATTTTTGTAAACACTCAAAAACAAAAACAAGTTTTTTTTGTATTCTGGTAACACTGTTCGAGAGAGTTCATTTGGCAAAGTAGGTGTTTATTAAAGAAAACAAAAATAATTAATGTTGTTTTTATTACTATTAATGTTTTTGTTTTGAAAAAATATTTATTTAAAAGAAATGTTTAAAAACACACATACACACATTGTATATACCTACATATTTATGAATTTAAGAACAAAAACAATAACTCTAAATAAATGAGAAATGAGTACAATATAGGTACAATGAAGTCAGAAAACGTCATATGAATGGGGAAGTATTAAATGGGGGTAAGAGCAAGAATGTTAACAACTTACTAGTTCAACAAATAACAAAAACAACAAAATATCACTTAGGTACCTACCTATTACTTTTTAATTAATATATAAAAGACAAGAAGATTATGTATAAAACAAAATAATAAAAAATACCCATTAAATAGCAACAAATTAATGTAGGGAGGGGAGAAAAAGCTATCATAACAAAATAAGAAAAATAATAAAAAAAACATGAATGATTTACAACAAGGTCACTCACAACAGAGAGAACGAAAACTAAAAAATGAGGAACAACAACAAATACCAAATATGTGGGGAATTACACAAACAATACATAAAAAAGAGCAAAAAAAGAACTATTAAAACTTAATTAACTGTTTTTCAAAAACTACCGTTAGAAATCTACTTTAAATAATAAACACAATAGGTAGGTATGTATTTGTATTCAAAAGATACAAACAACGAAACATTAAATAAATGTAGGTAAAACGAGAAATGAATAATTATGTATGTATGTATGTGATAAAAGAAATCATAGAAATGTAGATCGAAACAGAAAAATGTTAATTGCCTATAAGAAAATTATGTTAATTAAACGTCTGATTATGAATTTTTGAAATTTTTTTGAACAATTCTCTTTTCAAATATCAAAATATTTATTATCAAAGTTTCCTTTTTGAAATATGTTTGACCACAATTTAAAAAACGAGTTGCTAACTGGATACATTCATAATATGAATATTATTCTCTTCTGTTTTTTCGCATTTTCAAATACTAAAAGACAAAACAATAAAACTGCAAAAAAAAAGTTTATACATATGAACAACCAACAGGGAACAGCTGCACAGCAAGGTAGGTATTTATTGGAAACTCCAAAATCGAAATCAAACCAGCAGCACTATAAAATAACAAAAAAGGGGTTTTCTTCGTTTAAGAAGAAAAAATAACAACTTTGCACAAGCCAAACGAGCAAAGTAATAAATGCAAAAAAGAAAAAATAACGAAAAAATTAATAACATAAGGTAAACACAATATACACCACCAGCAGACCAGTCATACAAAAACAAAAAAATGTAACACACAAAACAAAATAAAAATATAAATCAAAAGCAAAAACAAAACTCAATGCAATGCGCAATGAAAGCCGACAGCAACAAACACACTCTCATCCCAAAGAGAAAGAGCAACAGCGTCAGAGAAAACACTGCAAACCAATAATAATAACAAACATATTATACAAAACAGTCATACCAGATTTTGCTGCAATTTTTTAACCAAAAAATTTTGTTTGAATCGAACTTTAAATATCAATTGGTTAATAATGATTACTGCATAAGTTGTCATAACATAAAAGAATAGAACTCTGTATTAGGGTTCTATAGTTGAAACGAAAAGTCGACTTTTCGACTTTTTGCATTTAGTTAAAAGTCGACTTTTCGACCTTTCGACTTTTTCCATTTTATGAAAAGTCGATTCTTCGACTTTTCGACCTTTTTCATTTATTTAAAAGTCGACTTTTAGACTTTTCGACTTTTAGTATTTTATAAATGGTCGACTTTTCGACTTTTTCCGGCTTTTCGACTTTTTCCGACTTTTCGACTTTTTTCGACTTTTCGACTTTTTTGCGACTTTTTGATTTTTTACGACTTTTTGACTATTTTCGACTGTTTTTTTTACTTTTTTCGAGTTTTTCCGACTATTTTAGAGTTTTTGACCTCTTTTCCACTTTTTTAAAACTTTCGACTCTTTTCGACTTTTCGACTTTTATCGACTTTTCGACTTTTTTCGACTTATCGACTTTTTTCGACTTTTCAACTTTTTTCGACTTTTTAACTTTTTTCGACTTTTCGACTTTCCGATTTTTTGACTTTTCGACTTTTATTTACAAAGTCGATTTTTCGACTTTTTTCATAGACGATAGTCGAGTTATCGACTTTTTTGGAAAATAGTCGACTTCGACTTTTTTCGACAAAAAGTCGATTGTTCGATTATTCGAAAGTCGATTTATAGAACCCTACTCTGTATGTATGTATATCAGGCATGGAAAATTTAAATTTTGAAATAGTACTAACTTGTATATGAAAAATAAACTATAGACTATACTATACATTGGACTAGAGACAAGACTATAGATTGGACTATAGAATAAACTATAGGATCCTCGGACCCATAGTGTTCCGTAACGACATTTTTCGTTATTTTTTCTAAATATTACAAAAATATTGAAAATATCTAAAAAATTTTCATAAATATTAAACACTTTTTTTCTTCAATTATACCAGATTTTTTCGTGACTTTTTGGATTTCTTTTTTTTAGGTTTTTTAACAGGACGAAGCAAAAAAGTATAAGTAAAGTATTATGTGATTTATAATTTTTATTTCCTATTAAGGAGTGAGATCGAAAAATTCTTAACACACGTTTTTCATTACATTTTTCAACCAAAGTATTATTTGATTTTTTTTTTTGATCAAGTTACCTTTGAAAAACATGTCAGTTATTATGTGTAATGTCAATTATATTAATTTTTTTGTTAATCTGATTAAAATGAGTGACCAGAAAAAAGTGCGTATTGAAATTATTAAATATTTTCAACTAAACCCAACTTGGTCTTACAAAAAGTTGGCCAAGCATACAAAGGTCTGCCGTCAAACTGTTTCCAATGTTATTAAACAGTACCGGGAGAACTTGTCAGTTGATAGAAAACCTGGTTCAGGTAGAAGGAATGGTCCACATGATGTTTCTAAAGCCAAAAAAATAGAACGCATTTTCAAAAGAGCTCCCAACACATCCGGTAGCAAAGCAGCCCGGTTAGCTCAGTGCTCGGACTATTTGGTACGAAAAGTTAAAGCTAATGCAGGTTTAAAAACATACAAGGCTCAAAAAGTTCCTGACAGGAACGCTGCTAAAAATTTAGAGGCCAAAAACAGAGCACAGAAATTGAAGTCAAGTTTTATAAAAAAATATTCTTGCTGCATAATGGATGACGAAACGTATGTTCTGGCAGATTTTTCGCAACTTCCAGGTCAAAAGTTTTATGTTGCTGATGCTCGAGGGAATGTTGAAGAAAAGTTTAGGACCCAAAAGCAGACAAAATTTCCCAGAAAGTTCTTGGTATGGCAAGCAATATGCAGTTGCGGCAAAAGAAGCCAATCATTTGTTACAACGGGCTCTATAAATACCGAAATTTACATCAAGGAATGTTTACAAAAAAGGCTGCTTCCATTCATAAGACTTCATAATGTGTCCACTTATTTTTGGCCTGACTTGGCATCCTGTCACTATGGTAAACAAGCCCTTGAGTGGTACAAGAACAATAATGTGGTATTTGTACCAAGAGAGGCAAATCCTCCAAACTGCCCGGAGCTAAGGCCAGTAGAGAGATATTGGGCTCTTGTTAAAAGAGAATTGAAGAGTACAAAAAAGGTGTCCAAAAGTGTGGTAGATTTTAAACGGAGATGGACTACATGTTCGAGCAAAGTGACAGAAAGCACTATAAAAACGTTAATGGAAGGGTTTCCGAAAAGGGTTCAAAATT